GGACAGTTTATTTTTTTCTAACATTTTATTGGTTTTTACAGAGAGGAAGGGAGAGGAATAGAGTTAAAAAACATCAATGAGAGAGAAACATCGATCAGCTGCCTCGTGCACACTCACTACTGGGGATGTGCCTACAACCAAGAACATGCCCTTGACCAGAATCAAACCTGGCTGGGAGCCTTCAGTCCAAAGGCCCACATTCTATCCACTGAGCCAAACTGGTTAGGGCAGGACAGTTTAATTTATAATTAAACATATAAGCTCAATAGTATAAATTATAATTAAATGCGTAAGTTCAAAAGCCAGATTGCCTGGGTTCAAATCCTAGTAGGCTCTACTGCTTCCTCTGTTGGAGTTCGGACAAGTCAATCTCTCTGTAACCCAGTTTCTCCATAGGAATAAGAAGACCTTATTATGAAGATTTAATGAAGTAAATGCATGTAAAAAACTTACAACAATGCCCAGCATACTGTAAGTACTCAATAAATGTTATCTATTATTTTATACCCATAATCACTATCTTACGTCAGATCCTTGTCATCTCATTCCTAAAATTCTCCAAGAGCATTCTAGGCAGTCGCCCTTCTCCTACCCCAGAACACTACTCAGCTAAGACAAAAACCGCTCTCAGAAATATGCATCGTCTTACTCCCATTCTTTAGAACCCACTACAACACCCCATCAAACCAAACCTTGTATCATTGACACATTCTTCACCAATAACAATCCTAAACTCAATTATTATTATTCACCAATACACATTCTCCATACCAAACTGCTTGGTATCTTTGTATGTTGCCACTTCTTGGCTGCAAATACCATCACTCTCCTAGAAATTTCTGTTTTTCAAATATCACTTATATCTTTGACTTTGGTTGCACTGTTATTCCAAAAGTTTGATGTTACTTGGTAATTACGAATAATGGACATTATTAGCGTTGTTTCCTCAATAGAAGTTGAAGCGTTTGAAGAGACTACATATTTTATCTCTAGTGTCTCCTTCATACAGGCTACTTCACACACAGTACAAGATTTTGCAGAACACAAATGCTGACTGACTTACTTTTAAAAAAAAAATGCCTCATGCCGGGACCGGTTTGGCTCAGTGGATAGAGCGTCGGCCTGTGGACTGAAAGGTCCCAGGTTCGATTCCAGGTAAGGGCATGTACCTTGGTTCCGGGCATGTACCTAGGGGGTGTGCAAGAGGCAGCTGATCGATGATACTCTCATCGATGTTTCTAACTCTCTATCCCTCTCTCTTCCTCTCTGTGAAAAATCAATAAAATATATATTAAAAAATAAAAAATAAAAATAAAAAATGCTCTGGGGAGGGAGGGTATGTATGGGAGGGAGGGGGGGCAAAAAAAATCAATAAAATATATTTTTAAAAAATTAAAAAAATAATAATAATAAAGTGATAATAGATAAAAAATAATAAATAAAGTTCTAGGCTTCCTTAAGTAAATAAAAGAGGTTTCATACACTGTTTAAAAAATAAATAAATAAAATTAAAAAAATAGAAAATGCCTCAGAATGTATCACAACATTCTCTATTTTCCACTGTCCCACCCATATTTAGCATGATGAAAGCAGATGGAATCTGCATTTAAATATTTTTATTTTACTGCCGGGACCGGTTTGGCTCAATGGATAGAGCGTCGGCTTGGGGACTGAAGGGTCCAGGGTTCGATTCTGGTCAAAGGCATGTACCTTGGTTGCGGGCATATCCCCAGTAGGGGGTGTGCAAGAGGCTGCTGATCGAGGACTCTCTCTCATCGATGTTTCTAACTCTATCTCTCCCTTCCTCTCTGTATAAAATCAATAAAAAATATATTTAAAAAAAGATTCTCTCTTTAAAAAATAAATAAATAAATAAATATTTTTATTTTACAAAGGAGAATATACCAGATAAAAAGAAAAGAACATATACTCAAATATTGGGTCTAGTAATAATGTCGTTTTTAAACATTCGTTTAAAATCTTGCTTGGCGTTGACTTGTATTGACATAACCTTCAAACACGTGGTATCTACAGAACGTGTGAAGTGCAATTAACAAGTTTTGCTTGAAAAAGTTTGTGTTTGGTTTGGTTTTTGTTGCAAAACTAGGGCTAAGAAGATGGCGGATAAAGAGCATATTCGGCACTGCATGCTTTACGAGTTCCAATTAGGAAGAAAAGCAAGTGAGGCTGCAAAAAACATCTGTAGTGCTCTTGGTCAAGATGCAGTTAGCGCCAGAAAATGCCAGCGTTGGTTTGAGAAATTTCGCGAGGGAAATTTTTCGTTAGATGACAAGAGTGGTCGAGGCCGTGTGTCCAATTTTGATCAAGAAGCTCTTCAAGCTCTTTTGGTGCAAAATCCTCGAATTACCCAACAAGAGCTTGCGACAACTTTAAATTGTTCACAGAAAACAATTTCCAATCAATTGCGTGCACTTGGCAAAGTCCAAAAGTTTGGAAAATGGGTTCCTCATGAGTTGACCGACAACAACTGTAATCAAAGAGTCACAATTTGCAGTTCGCTCCTCTCGTCAAAACCGTTTGCCGTTTTTAGAGCAAATTGTTACCGGAGATGAAGAATGGGTGCTGTATGTTAATTTGAAAAGGTGGCCTCAATGGTTGGACAAAATTGGTTGGGCTCCGCAGCCCACGCCAAAACCTGACTTGCATGCGAAAAAAGTGATGTTGTGTGTTTGGTGGAATTTTAAAGGAATTCTTCATTATGAACTTTTACCATCTAACCAAACCATTCCAAGTGCAGTGTATAGTGCCCAATTGGAAAGGTTAGCCCAAGCTTTAAGAGAAAAAGAACCCGCGCTGATTAATCGGAAGGGCGTAATTGTTCACCACGATAACGCACGACCGCATACTGCAAGAATCACTGCTGAAAAACTGCGCCAGTTGGAATGGGAAGTTCTCCCTCAACCTGCATATTCTCCTGATATTGCCCCTTCCGATTACCATTTGTTTCGTTCTTTGCAAAACTTTCTTCTTGGAAAAAAATTTAATAATGAAGAATGCCTCAAAAATGCATTGACCGAATTTTTTGCATCAAAATCACAAGAATTTTACAACAGAGGGATTAAAATGCTTCCTGAGCATTGGGCACAAGTAGTAGAAAACAACGGCAACTATATTGTTGATTAAATTTTTTGTATTGTTTAAATAAATTCGATTTAAAAAAGTATTAGAAAACGATATTAATTATTACTAGACCTAATATAATGCACAAAGCAAAAAAAGAATGCTGGCCATTTTGGAATCTAAAAAATGTCTTCAAAATATTAAGACTTCTGAACTATTGAACCAAAAGGAGTTAAAATAAACATGTCCTGACCCCATCCAAAAAATACTTAATAAAAGCATTACAAAATCCTAGTATCTTCAGCAGCATAAAACCAAGAAGATTCCGAGACACAAAATAAAACTGTAAGTCTCAGGTTTATTTAAAAAAATTAAAAATGCGATCGCATATCTATATGCCACCCAAACGTAAAAATGGAGAGGAGTTACAACTTTCCTATAAATATCTGCTCAGGCTTGGGTGGAATAAAAGGTTCATTTCACTGCTACTGTGGCCTGTCCCCTATTAAGAGGGCAATCTGTGGTCACAAAAGCGATAAATACAGAAAGATGGAAACCTTAGCCTAGAAGAGACATTAAGGAAAGAAGCTATTCAAAACCAGTTTCCAAAAACACAGCTCACTGATACTCAATAACAGCCAGGGGAGACGTTCAATAAAAGAGTTCCCAATAAATGAGTGATTCAGTGCAACTATTTAGCGCTGCCTTGCAAGTGAAGAACTATGCACACAGCTTCCATGACTGACACACATGCTTGTGTCAATGGGAAACAAAGTAGAAGGGGGAGGGGAGGAAGAATTTAAATAAATGTCAGGAAACGACAAAACTGATGACCACTAACTCCATGGCCAGCCCAGCACAGCTCATTCAGGAATCCAACCAGGAACAAGAGACCTAGATTGCACAACACAGAAAAGAAAATCCTTCGCCGACCACACACACAAAAAAAGTAGAACGGCCAAGTGCACCTCCATGCATTAAGCAGCTGGAGCTTATTCTCTCTCTAAGATTAAGCAGTTAGCAAGAGCAACTAAAGAGAGGAAAGATGTCAATGAAACTAAGCCCCGTTGTCCCCTGCTGGTCCCAATTTCGAGTACAACTCCCGCTCCTTCCACCTAACTAACAACAGTAGGCCTCGGCAAAGAAAACTGACCCTAACACCTTCCATGCCACCAGGAGGAAATCACAGAGGGAAAACTACCCCGTTAACCTCCCCCCTCACCAGCTGCAAAAATGGAGGGGGGGAGGGGGAATAGGGGGCGGTGGAGGGAACACCCTACCACGTGGGCAGGATGCAACACACACAGGACAGCAACACGTCCGCATGGAACTGCTGCTGCCTCCGTCCTAATGCCGGCAGAGGACGCGGCCACAGGATGGGTGGGAACGCAGGCCCCTCGCACGGGCCTCCTCACCCCAAAGGGCAACCCCGAGGCAGGGGGTCCTGCCCGCCTCGCCCCCTGAAAAGCGCCCGCACGCTGGAGGGGAAGAGGCTGCATCGTGCCGGGGCAGGGAGCTAGCCCAGGCCGGAGGCAGGTCCGGGGAGAGACGGAGACCACCCGGTCCCCGGTCTCGGCGCCCCCGGGAACCCCGGGAGGCTCCCCCGAGCCCCGCCTGGGGGAGGGGCGGGAGGCGCGGAGGCGCAGAGCCGCCGCTTCCCGGCTGAGGGGCAGCAGCAGCTGAGAAGCGCCGCGGGGGAGGGAGGGACCGGCCCTCGCCGACCGCCAAGGCCCCAGCTCCGACTCGGGAGGGGGGGCGCCCCCTGCTCCGCCCGCCGCCCACCCCGCGGCGCGTCCGCGGCGGAGAGAAGGGAGAGGGCGTCTCGCGGAGGGCAGCCCCAGCCTCCGTCCCGGGAGATGCCCCGGCCCCGCCTCCTCGCCCGCCGCCCCGGCTCGGCCGCCTCGGCGCCGGGCACTCACCTCAGGCTGCGCAGGCCGGGACGGCCCGGCCGAGCCCCCGGCCGCTGCGTGCGTCTTCGCCCGCCGGGAAAGGTCCCAACGGCGCCTGGTGCGAGCGGCCGAGGCCCCAAGCAGCGCCCAGAGCGGTGGCGGCAGCGAGAGCAGCCAACATCCGGGGCCGCGCACCCGGAACTACTTCCCGACCCGTTCTTCCCCCTCCCTCCCGCCCGCCCCGCCTCCGCCTCCCGCGACGTCGCTGCGCCACGGACCCGGCGTCGGCGGCGTCACGGCTCCTCCGCGGCCGTGGTGGCGGCGGGGACGCGCGGGATCCCTCCGCTGGGACAAGTAGTGCCCCGAGACTCCCGGAGCTCTGCCTCTGAACCGCGGGGGTGGGGGAGCGGCCCGCGTCTCGGAGCGACTCCGGGGTGGCCTTGCACCTCGGAGCAGCCATTGGGGAGTGGCGCTCTGTTGTGGAGGTCAGCAAGGACCTGCGGCCTTGGACCCTGCCCAGGGATTCCAAGGGCCCCATGATCTCAGGGAATGGCGCCTCGTGACCCGCCCCCACGCGCCTACCCCCCATTTCGCCACTTCGTCGTGATAAAGTCAGGCACCTTAGCCTCTCCGGGAAGCCGGGCCCCTTGTGCCACTTGGCACTCCGCGGATTCCAAAGGCACCTTGGAGCTTCAGGACACCCTTCCCTTCCGAACCTAACAAGGCGGGGAGGTTCCAGGCCCATCTGCCGAGGCTTTTCCCACGCCTGGCCTCAGCTTCCTTCCCCCCAAAGCAGATGGAACTCTGCAGGCCCTTCTGATTCTAACGTAGCCGCCCAGGCTAGGGTCCTTGCTATCCACAGGTGGAGTGTTTAGAAGGACAACAGCGCGGCGACTTGTGAACTTTGGAATTTGCTTATACGTCAGTCTTCATTGATTCTGAAGCTATTAGCACCTGTAATTTCACACTTGATTACATTCAGACGTATTTGCTGTTGCTTTATATTCGCGTTAGTCATACTGTTGAACTCCCAGTAGGTGCTCCATATATGGATACTCAAATTTTGTTAATTGAATACTATAGGTTGATTGGGTGATAGGAAAAGAAAAGCCTGCGTGAATTAGCCCTGGAAACTTTGACGTCGTCTCCGGTAGTTAAAGAGCTGACTAAACCAATTGCTTTAGCAAACACTGGATACCTGCTATGCACCAAGCACTTCTAGGCCCTGGGTATTCAAAGTTCTGCCCTATTCCTTTCTATACAAGACTAGCAAAATTCTGAAGATAAAAATAATCCATTCACTCAGTCATCCAACAAACATTTGCCAATCACTAGTAAAGCACTCCTTTAGTGCTTGGGGTGTGTCAGTGAACAGAGAGAGGTAGGGGAATACCTTTACCTCTTAGAGCTATTATTTAGTATGGAGAGAAGGATAATAAAGATAGCAAGAAAGTTACTTGGTAACATAGACTGTGTTCAGTGCTATGGAAAAAAAAAAAATAGACCTGGCAGGGTAAGGGGTATGAAGAAAACTAGAGAGGGTGTGGATACTTCTTTTAACATCTACCATTTATGTATCAATAATAAATGTACAGTACTTGTTCAGCAAATACTTCAGCCCGGACCATGTGTTAGGTGCCAAAATTCTGACCTGGTAGACTCCCCAGTTAGGGGAGACCACAGGCCATGTGTTTTCACCTGTCTCCTCATTCAGTGCCTTCACCAAGTCCCAGAGACAGAACTCATGCTCATCTTTGCAGCTGATGAAATTGAGGCTCAGAAGAGTTGAAATTCTGAGCCAGGATTCAAACACAATGTCTTCCGAGTCCATCTCTCTTTCCAGCTTCATCTCAGCTGAGATTTCGTATTTTAGTTTCATTAACGCCTCACCTTTTTCAAATAAATTCATGTATCGATTCATGAATAGCCTTAGGCCTGCACTGGTGTGAAAGGGTGGGAGAAAGGAAAGTAGTGGAGAGGGGAGTCTGTGGAGCAAAGTGATAGAGGTAACAGAGAAAATTCATGGAAAAGAAATGCAGGTAGGTTCATAATAGCTTACTCTAATTCCAGCTTTACAGGATGAAGTTTAGAGCCATCAAGGATAGCCCACTTCATGAGGTGGTTTTAATGAAAAACTTGAAAGAGCTGAGGGAGTGAGCCATGCAATTTTCTGGGAGAGTGTCCTAGGGCCTAGGCAGAAGGAGCAGCAGTAGAAAGACCCTGAGGCAATGCATTCCTGGAAGTATTAGAAACAATGGGAAGGGCGGGGCATCTAGAGCAGAGTGAGTAAATGAGAGAGGAATGGGAGAGGTCAGAGGTCAGAGAGTGGGCCATTTTAAGGATGTTGGCTAAAATGGAGCTACTACAAGACTTGCAACAGAGGGGTAATATCTGATTCATGCTTTCAAAAATATCATTCTGGCTACTGTGCCAAGAGTAGACAATGAAGAGACAATGGTGGAAGCCAAAGACTCCAGTATTTAAATGGTTAATTCTAAACCATTAATTAAGTGCAGGATGATGGCTTGCCCCAAGCTAGTAGCAGTGAGTTGGATAAAAAGATAGTCTCTACACTTTAAGAATTCACAGTCTAATGGGAAGCATGTAGATTAGATAATTATAGTGTGATAAGGAAAATAGTGTCCCGAAGAAGAGGCTCTCCTTGCCAGCTTTCTTGAGAGAGGGTAGAAGCTCCCTCTTCTACCAAGTTGCCAAGGGAATTGGAAGTTGCTGGGTTTTTGTTGGGCATTTGGGTGGATTCTTGATAACACAGATAACACTCGTTCTCTTCCCAGCCCTGCAGTTTTCATCTGAATTGGGCTTTAGGCAGAACGGTACTTAAAAAACTGTTTCATGTATATAAGGAGATGGGCAAAGCTGAGGTTATCCATATTTATCAGAGGAAGAAACTGAGGCTGGTAGTCACCAGGCTCTAACCTCAGACTGGGATCAAGGTCAGAAAGTCCAAACCAGTCATCTCTCTGAGTCACTTGAGAAGATTCGGCCAGATGAAGGCGTAAGAATAGAAAGACTCACATTTGGACTTCATTCCACATCTGGAGACTTTGGGTTCCCATTCATCATCACCTTCTATAAATCTTGGGGAGCTCCTCACCTCCCACCTGTTTGGGATTCTGAGGTGCTTTTCTAAAGTGCCTGTTCCCATCTGGAGGAGAACAGGGCTGGATAGCTGCCAGAATGGGGCTGGGGATCAGGAGCCTTTGGGAAGGAAAGAAGCATGAGTCCCAGAGTGGAGGAGCACCACTCTTATCACCCCCAAAAATAGTTGTATGGCAATAGCAGCACAAGGGGATTCTGGGACATGGTGGGAGGAAAAGCTTAAAGCCCAGATTGGCAAGGTAGACCTGAGTTCAAACTGATGCTCCATAGCTTCTTGTGTGCCTATTGATGTAGTTTCTCTTAGTCTCTGTTTTCTTGCCTATTACCTGGGAATGATACTCATAGCTACTGGCAAAAGAGATGATATACAAGCTGTCATAAAATAAAGGTCCTCAAAGGCAGTTATTATTTTTCACAAGGTTAAGGGTAGGAGAGTAATTTATAGTCTTAGGAGATGGAAGTAGGCTGGAAGGAGGGTGTGGGGCAGGAGAGCCTTCAAAAAGAAGATGGTATCTAACTCAGGGGACAGATTCTTAAGAGAAATAACTTGCTCAAAGCAATGAGATAGAGGTTTTATTGTATTGTGTTGTTTGCAATCTTTTACCAACCTCACCTGCATTATAAATTCCCTGAAAGCACTGCCCCGAGCTGGGCTGCGACAGCCCCACAAAAATCTTGATTGGGCGCTACCAGTGCATCAGCAGCAGGGTATTCAATGCTTCACGTGACCCACAGCCCTTTAGACAAAGGAGGCCTTGCCTGATCCTTTATTGGAAGAGGAAAGCAGGAAATTAGAAATGAATTTTTAAATGAGCCAAGACCTGCAAGAGGGAAAGAGAATATGAGAAGGCACCTCCTATTATTCCCAGCCCTGGAGGAGCCTTCCAGAGTCCCTGGATATCTTTATATACTTTATATTTCATGCATTAGAAGGGGACGGGGATGGGGGAGGGGGGGCAGCTAGCCAGAGGCCATGGGATGCTTTCAGAACCATTAATTGCTACTTAATAAAAACACTTGGGTGTTGGTCACTTTGCATACTTAAACAGCATTCAATAATCCTCTATCACAGCATTTTTCAACCGCTGTTCCGCGGCACACTAGTGTGCCGCGAGATGTTGCCTGGTGTGCCGTAGGTGCAGACAAGACAAGAATTTTATAATTTTTCACTATTTTGTTTACTTAATATTTCATAATAAAGTAATTATAAAATACTTTCTTTGTGTTTATTTGATTCCTATTCAAGAGAATTACTTTATATATAGTCAATATAGGCACAGAGTTCAATTTTTTAACATTTTCTAATGGTGGTGTGCCTCGTGATTTTTTTCATGAAACAAGTGTGCCTTTGCCCAAAAAAGGTTGAAAAACACTGCTCTATCAGACAGCTACTCTATACCAGGCTTTGGGCTTAATCCTAGGGAGTTAAAAGGAAATAAATTCTCTACCTTCAATGGGCTCCCAGGCATCTAAAGAGGCAGACATGTAAACAGTCTCAATGCAATTGTTAGAGATTTATATTTGTGCCCTGAGAATAGAGAAAAGGCAAAGCTAAAAACTCTATCAGATTGAATAGGGATGGGGTACCAAAGAAAGTTTCACACTTAAAGGTAAGGTTAAGGTTAAGTCTGAATAAATGAGTAGATGTTTGTCATGTAAAGACAGAAGGAGGCTGGAGGCAGAGAAAGAAAATCTGGGATAGAGGAGAACAGTTTATGCAAAGTGACAGTGGTTAAGTAGATACAAAAAAAAGTGTGGAGGTCATGGAAATTACAGTCTTAATAAGTGATCCTTAATAACTAGTGGCTGGTGAGAATAACTCATGAAGCTAGAACATATCGTTCTCTATATACCATCCATAAATTTAGGTCCTGCTCTCTAGGAGCTTGGTGTTAAATTCAGATTTTATCATTAAGGCAAAGTGTGATTCTTCCCAAATACTATGTTGCTTCATCATTGTGAGTAGAAAGGAGTAGCTTAGAATATTTCTTTCCAGGGAAGTCAATAGCCTAAATTTTTCTCCTAGTTCTGGCAATGAATTTGCCCTAGTGCACTTATACCACACTAGTGGTCTGGAAAGAATCCAAG